CTTTTCAGTCCCTCCAAGAGGTTGTTCTCCCTGAGAAAATAAGAAAGTGGTCACATCTATCTTCCCTCTCCTGCTCTTTGTTCCTGCCCCTCAAAGGATGAGATGTCCCTGTTCTCCCAGCCCAGGCCCTAACATCTCACCTCAACCTCCAATTGTCACAGATGCTGCTATGTACAGTCAGTTCTATTTGCAGAGACTGACGTTTACCCCTGCGGTCCTCAGCTCTTTTCATTTATACAGTGGTGATCATATTTCACACGATCATTGGGATATTAGTATTTATTTAATTAAGAGAGATTTTTGCCATAGGGCACGTACACTTCCGGGGAGACGGAGAGACACCAAGGAGACGGAAAGCCAGAAAGCCAGAAATCATCCCCCAGGGGGTGTGGGGGGATGGCCATGCCACAAGCCCTTCTCCTCCATTCTCCTCTGTGGATCTTGGGCACACACACATACACACATACACACACCGTGTCTGGTGTAAATTTAAGCCACCGGGTCCGGGACTCGAATCACAGTCGACTATGTGAGTCCAGCGACGTAACAGTTATGCCATCTGCTGGTCCCATGATGTTAGTATTTAATTATTTCTGTTACTGCTTCTAATATCTAGCACCCTGCCTGGCATACAGTATATGTAAGCATACGGTATGCTTCTTCCCGTGTCTGCCCAGTACTCCACTTAGGGAACCTAGAGCAGATGGCCAGACCACAGAGTAGAGACCTCCTGTGAGAAAATTTTTCAGTGGAAGAAATAGACCTCATATAAAAGGAAAAATAGGGGCTGGCAGGTGCTGGGGTGATTAAGGTGCTGGACTCCCACGTGACTGATCGTAGTTTGAGTCCCAGACCTGGAGGCTTGCTATGTCTGTCTCTCTGCCTCTCTCTGGTCAAATTGAAGAATAACAGTAATAAATAAAATTGGGGACCAGCAGTTGGCATGATGGCTATGTCACTGGACTCCCATGTTGCTGACCACAGTTTGAATCCTGGACTCAGTAGCTTAAACACACACTGGGTGCGTGTGTGTGCATGCCCAAGATCCCGAGAGGAGAAGGACCTAGGTCCTAGGTGGGTACAGAGAAAGCACTCAATAC